CTCATTAATGACATGTACCCCTGTATACATTTCTAGAGAGTGAGAAATACGGCATAATGTTTTTTTTTTTTTGCAGTTTTTGTTTTTCGCAAATCCACCAGAGGTCGCCATGAATGCTTTTTCAGATCTCAAATTTTCATTTGTGCCATTTGCGCCTGCTGTTCTCACGTAAATCCATCAGAGGCCGCTGTTGACTTACTAATTAACAAATCCCTCACCTACCCCTTCCTTAAACCCAACCAAAAGTGTTTTCAAAGCACCGATTGACCCGATCACCCCATCCACAAACCCATTCAAGTCTTTTCAAAAGCAAAGATTGACCTGATCACCCCCTTCCCTAAACCCAACCGATAGTTTTTTCAAAAGTACAGATTGACCGGATCACTGCTTGCCCTAAACCCAACCGATAGTGTTTTCAATCGCACTGACTGACTCACCCACCCACCTTCTTCCCTAAATTCAACTAATAGTTTTCAAAAGCTGTGATTGACCCAATTACCCCCTCCATAAACCCAACCGATAGTGTTTTCAAAGCACTGATTGACCCGATCACCCCATCCCCAAACCCAGCCAAGTGTTTTCAAAAGTCCAGATTGACCCGATCATCCCTTCCCTAAACCCAACCGATAGTTTTTTCAAAAGTCCAGATTGACCCGATCACTGCTTTCCCTAAACCCAACCGATAGTGTTTTCAAAAGCACCGATTGACCCACCCACCTTCCTCCTTCCCTAAATTCAACCAATAGTGTTTTCAAAAGCAGTGATTGACCCAATCACCCCCTCCATAAACCCAACCGATAGTGTTTTCAAAAGCACCAATTGACCTGATTACCACCTTCCCTATACCCGACCGATAGTGTTTTTTAAAGCACAGATTGACCCAATCACTGCCGCCCCTAAACCCAACCGATTGTTTTAAAAAGCACAGATTGACCCAATCCCCCCCTTTCCTAAACCCAACCGATAGTGTTTTCTAAAGCACAGATTGACCCAATCACTGCCGTCCCTAAACCCAACCCATAGTGTTTTGAAAAGCACAGACTGACCCAATCAAGGCAAGTCTTATGTATGTCTTTTCTATGCATCTTAGACCCAAATGTAAAAAAAATGACCCTTTGAGGGATGTGATAATAAATTTTTACCCTTTAGCAGTCACAAGACTGAAATCTCAGGTTTAAGGCGGAACTCATGTCTAGGGCCAGACGGAATCTGTGGATGTTTTTTGCTATTTCTGCGGAGAATTTTGGTAAAAGTCTGCGGATTTCTGCAGAAATATTTTGGGATTATCATAATTAAAACCTTAATATATGAAATAAAAAAATTTATCTTTTAACTTTCATTAAATTATTAAAATGCAAATACAGTAAATTTGCAAATCAAATTTAAATATACAGTATGGCAGGAGCGGTCAGGTGCGGAATAAAACCTTGCGGGAGAAGGTGGGAAGGGGACTAAACAACAGTCCCACACAGACCTCTAGTTGGTAGTGCAAAACAATACAAAAGCCAGTGCCGATATCCACACTGTAGGGTTCGTTTTAAAGATCAAATGCAGCCATATGTACCCCTGGCAGCATAGTTTGCGCTCTCCAGAATTGTATACGGGGGTGTGTTTTCAGAATGAGCCTGTGTTGAATGGATTGCATATAATTTGCATTAAGTAATCAGATTCCAAAAATCAAGTACCCATAATAAGAGCAAACTGCAATTGTAATAATTGATAATTAATAAATAATAAACTAATGTTATAACAACTGACTTAAAATGCTGTCATGTAATCTGTAATTAGTTACTGATTACAATTCAAAAGTAATCTACTCTACTCTGCTGCCATGTTTGCTTGTTTAATTGTTGATTTTATTTTATCTATTCTAGGTGGACAAAATACTAGACGCAAGTTTAGTTTTAATATATTATTATTATTATTATTATTATTATTATTATTATTATTATTATTTGCATTAAATAAATAAATAAATTATTAATTATCAATTATTAATATTAATTATTATTATTATTATATTTATAATAATAACAGCAATGCTGATAATAATAATAATAATAACAATAATTATTATTATAATTTTTAAATAATTTTTTATTATCATTATTATATTTATTTATTATTATTATATTTATTATTATATATTATTATTATTATTATTATTATTATTATTATTATTTGCTTTAATTAAATAAATAAATTAATTAATTAATTCATTTAATTAATTAAATTTATTTATTTTTATTTATTTGTTTTTTAATTATTATAAGAGATTATATAACTGGCTGGCAATGCTGTCATGTAATTTGTAATCAGTAATTTATCACAATTTATAAGTAATCTTCTAAACTCTGGTGTGTTTAAAGAGACAGTTCACCCCAAAAATAGAAATACTGTCAATGTTTAATCATCCTTTACCTAATACACTCTCAACTTTCTTTATTTTGTTGAACACAGAGAGCAAAAATCTTCCATAGCATGCTTTTTTCCTACTATGGATGTCACTAACTATTAAAAAATAAATAAAACAAGCAAATGTGGCAGAAGAGTTGCAAACATATGTTGAGTCAATTTTAAGTGAACTGTCCCTTTAAGGTGTTGTGTTCAAAAGCGCAGCAGATGCATATTCTTCCAGATCTTTCTGCAGTAATGCACTTGTTCCTGCAGTGAGGGTAATAAATGTCAGCAGTGTTTTACTGTTCGCCGGCGCAGGCTTTAAACTCCATCACGGAGACACTGAACACTTCTCTACTGTACATCTCACACACGTTCATCTATCCTTCACTATCACCATCATCTGCCTTTATAACCTGTTCAGCGTCTGACCTTTACCTCTGTACTCTGGAGTCTTCAGGGTTATCAATAATTCAGCTGATCTTTAAACAACCTGTTATTATGTAAATCTGCAGCGCTCTCATGTCATCCTTCAGTCTATCGAAGACCTTTGAGGCTGATTCAGTGCACTGATACTGGACTCTGAGCATAATCACATTTT